CACACATTATATCCAGGCATTATGCTATGTTTGTAGTAATAAGGCGTTTCAAAAAGCAATTGAAATTTTTAATAACCGCAAACGTGTAGACGCTCAGAAATGCCAAGATTGTATGTGATAAACCCTTTTTTCTTATTATGAAATGTCACTCGCCCCAGGTTTCGAAGTGAAGCAGCGCAAATTATTCAGTAAGGCTCATGAAAAGCACGCCTGTCTAAATTAAAATTGGAAGTTCGCCTATTTTACTCGAGTAAAATATGAATTAAGTTCGGCTCATGAAAAGCACGGCGTCTAAACCGGGCCTTAGAATATTCAATAAACCCGTTTTATATTCAATATTTACCGAATTATATTCAATATCTTCGCAAAAACATTCAATTGTATTGAATATAAAATGTGTGTATTGAATATAAATTGTGTGTATTGAATTTTGCTACAATTCGGCAACCAATCCTCAGAAAATATTCAATAGCTTTTGACCAGCGGTATACCGCCAAAAAATAACATCCAGCACTGGCAGTTCAATACATTCCCGTAGATTTGCCATCTTTATAACAGCGAACACGTTGCGACTAAATACTTATAAAGCGACATCTTGCAGTTCGGTTTCTTTTTCGGTTTTATAGAAGTATTTTAATCATACTTTTCATTTGTAAATAAAGTAGATACTTGTATGTATAAACAGTGATTAAACACTGCACGTACGCTTTTTGACTTGCAATCATTATGTAGTTTGCTATATTACAGTAATACTTTTATAACATAGTACATACAAAGACGAGTCTGACTCATATAGGCTGAGTTTGAACCAGGAAATTGTTATTGGCTGTTTGTGATGTTTTTCCTTCGCGGGTGATTGTATAAATTTACATTTTTAATCCATGCCATGGATAGAAGATCTGAAATACGCAGAATATTGGAGGAAATTATCTCCGAAGACTCCGAAAGGAATAGAGATAATAGTGGAAACCGTCTTGTCCTCTTCAGTACTTCTGTGAGTGGTGAGCAGCCGTCAACTAGCCATCATGATATTCAAAGTCAGCCTATGAGTCAGACTCGTCTTTGTATGTACTATAAAGTACAAGTATAAAAGTATTACTGTAATACAGCAAACTACATTAACTTACAGTAAATGATTGCAAGTCAAAAAGCTTACGTGCAGTGTTTAATCACTGCATGTTTATACATATACGTATCTGACTACTTTATTTACAAATGAAATTAAAGTATAATTAAAATAAAAACCGAACTGCAAGATGGCGCTTTATAAATATTTAGTCGCAAGATGTTCGCCGTTTTAAAGATGGCAAATCTACGGGAATGTATTAAACTGCCTGTGGTGGATGTTATTTTCTTGGCAGTATACCGCTGGTCAAAAGCTATTGAATATTTTTTGAAGATTGTTTTATTGAATACTTTTTTCGCCGCATTGAATATTTTACGGTGTAATTTACTGAATATTTCAGATGTTGTATTGAATATTTAACAAGGTTATTGAATTTTTTGCGAAGATATTGAATATATTTCGATAATTATTGAATATAAAACGGTTTATTGAATATTCTAAGAGTGTATTATTTGAATATAAAATGTGTGTATTGAATATAAGTTGTGTATATTGAATTTTGCTACAATCCGGCAACCATATTAGTATGGCGGAATACGAAATATAGCCATTAAAAGTGCTCTAGCTTTTTATGTATCCAAGCAAAACTCATGATACTTTGAAATATTATAAAGAAAAGGTTGCTCTTTGATTTAATTGTCACTATGAGGATGAGAAACGAATTTAAGCCTGGAATGTGGCCATTGTTATACGGCATACATCAATTAATTTCACCTCGGTCATCGTCGAATAGACGAATAGTGGATAAACCTTAAACTACAAGTTATATAGCTTCTGTGTGGTTATTCCTCGCCGTAAGACATGTTTTTAGTGATAAGTTGGTGATATGTCATGGTGTATAAAAGGATTAAGGACGTGCACGCCATGAACAATGAAGGAAATAAACTAGTTCATCGTAGCCAGCGTGGCCGGCTCTTTTATAAAAGAGCCGGCCACGCTGGCTAAGTTCATCGAACCTTTGTGAATCTGTGATCAACTGATCAAGCTTTGACGGTACTCACCAAGAGCATTGAAATATTAACTTGGCATAATGGACTGCAATCTTTTAATAAAAAAATATTGTGATATGAAAGAAAGATGAATCAAGCGACCTCATTTACAAAACAGACAATAAAAGTCCTGATTTATGACAGTTCTAAATTATAAATCTGTGAGAAGATTCTAATATACACTCTACTGTCTCTAGTTCTTAAGATTGTGTTTAATTAACAGTTTACTCTACAATGAAGGGGAAAATATAAATCTGAAGATGAGAATTTTCTCTCTTACTCAAGTTTATGTTACATTTAGCACCAAGTATATTGTTGTTTGCTATCACCAAAGGTAACTTGTTGGCGTATAATATATCAGGCAATAAAACTGGTTCAACTTGCAACAAAATCTGACTTTGATGCATGCAAGTTGAAGTGGTTTTTTTACAAGTAAATGAAACTTTAACATCTAGTGTATTCTACTGTGTACAAGTTGTACAAGCCCAAAAAATGTAATAAACACTTTAATTTGATTTTAGTTCGGTATGGTTCAAAACTGGAATGCAAGATCTCGATCTCATTTCACAGACTCTTAGGGACCGTTCATTGATTATACATACGGGTGGGCTGGAGTAAAACTAAACATTTATTAAAAAACATTTTCGACCCTCTCCCTTAAGTTAAAATCTTTTTTGTGCCCCCCCCC